CAATAAAAAGAAGAAAATAAAAGCTGTAAAAAAACTAAAAGCTGTCCATGTTTACTAAAAGCTGTCTTTCTCTTTATGTATGTGAAAAAAACTATAATATGTATGTGAAAAAAACTAAAAGATGTCTTTCTCTTTACTAAAAAAAAAACTATCAATCTGGAAGGATAAGAATTGAGCAAGAAAATCCCATATAAAGAATAATCACAAGAAACAAATTATCAAGACCAAGAACATTAGGCAGCTAAAAGGGACTGATTCAAACAAACGCCGACCATTGAAATCATTAAAGACTGATCCAAAGCACAACCAAAATACTTTAATCAAATTACAAAGAACAATAGTTCAACCAGAGCATGGTTAATGGAAGTCAATCTTTGGTCCTCGATAAACGAATACAAAAATTTACCAGCGACTAATACAAAAGACAAAAACAATTGTAGCAGCAAAGACGCCATATACACAATTGTATTCTAACTGGGTTGACCAGAGCTGTTCTGTTCATTTGAATTTTCTTACAAGTGAGGGCAGAGAGCCAATGACCTTGCTGGTGAAGCTGGATATGGAGTTTGAATTTATATCATAAGCTTTGGCTGTTGAAGTTGGCTTTGAGAGAAGGCGAAGTGGATGAGCACAAAAAACAATCTCACGTTAAAAAAAAAAGTCTCATGGGTTAGGGTGGGATTTGAGATAGGGTTTGATATTCATACATCTCACTAAAAAGTCTCACACAATCTCGCATTTGAAAAAATCTTTCGAAATTAACAAGTTTTTGAATACCATAAGACTTTTTGTTACTTGTTTAAAGTCTTGATTGAATACCACAAGATTTTGACACTCTCTTTAAAAAATCCTAATAGTCTTAATGGAATACCACAAGACTTGTTTAGATTATTTAAAAGTCTTAATTGAATACCACAAGACTTATTTATCTCAAAATAGTCTTTTAAAATCTCAATTGAATACACCCCCCTTAGTGTCAACTCCTACTTGCCACTCAATCTTGAGGACACCCTGCTCAAACCCAAAACAACAATTTCTGCGGCCAATATCCTTCAATTGCCATTGCCGACCAACAATGACTAGAATCTTTCTAAATTGTTCTACATTTGTGTGAGGTGCAGTAACCGTCTTTCTGAGAGCTATGGAATCCCTTGTCCACAGTGCAGATCATGTAACATTTCCACCCCGGTGTCTTTTGTTTCTCCATCTGCTCCTACTGGAGCAACCTCCAGCAATATTAAGGCAGGCTATGTCAAGGGTGGTGTTATTTACATGATAATGGATAATTTGGAAGTGAAGCCAATGACCACCTAATCAAGTGTTGCAGTACTTCAAAAGTTCAATGTGAAGGGGATTGATGCACTTCAAGTTAAGGAGGTTTCATGTCCTATATATTTCTCTAACTCTTATCAGTGGCTTGTTGATCTATTTAGAGAGCTAAATGTCTTACGTGTATATTTCTCTCTCTTGTAGGGTTTGAAGTTGGTGAAGGCATCATTGGAGTCAAATACCGCTCTTACCAATGTCTTCCTTGGAAAGAAACACCAAAAACTTTTCAACTTTGGTCCTCTAGCGACATTGAGCTTTTGGGGTTTCATTTTGGTTTGTGGATTCGGATTTCTATTCCATTACTTTGGATCATGTAAACTTTGGTCCATTGATTCTATTGGTTTCATTCATTATATCTCAAGAAAACTCATCCGCCATTGCAACAATCATTCAGCCTCATCGTTGATCCAGAACAAATAAGGAGGCCAATTTTGTACTGAGGGAGGTTGAAGAAATCAAGCTCATCTATATATACTGATTCAAAACATCTAAAGAAACTAATGAATTGTCAAAGCATATCCTCTTGATTGACACAAAGGGCCATCTGAGTGCAGCCGTTTCTCTACGATTGCATTTTAACTTTAATTTCACAACATATCAAATGTAGCTACTGCGTATATTTTAGAATTGAACTCAAACAATTTGGCCTGGTTTGTGTAGATTTATATTAAATGAGTATATATAGCCACGCGGCTAGACTTGGTGTTTTTTATAAATTGCTTTTGAAATTAATAGTGTAGTGGCGCCGTTATATTGTGTGAATATAATATATTAAAAGAGTATAGCCGTGCGGCTATACGCCCTTTTTTATTTTTTTTCCTAAATTAATAGTATCACCGCCCGGCTATACGCCGTGTTTTTTTAATTTTTATTCCAATTTATAGTACAGCCGAGAGGCTACACGTTTTAAATATAATATATTAAAGAGTATGCCGCAAACAGTACAGCCGCGCGGCTATACGTGGTTGATTGATAACTACAACAGCCTTATTGATGAATTAGTCGAGAATGGGATCACACCCTATGTGACCTTATTGCACTTTGACCTACCACAAGGTTTGGAAGACAAGTACTTAGGCCCTTTGAGCGTTCTTTTGTGGATGATTTCAAGGCTTACACTGAAATTTGTTTTACAACATTCAGAGATAGAGCCAAAAATTGGATCACAATCAACGAGCAGTTGATCATTGCCAAATTTGGATATGATTATGGAATTGCTGCGCCAGGAAGGTGTTCTATTTTAGCAGGGTTTCCATGCATAGTGCCGGCAATTCAGCCACTGAACCCTACATTGTGAGCCATAACCTTCTCCTAGCTCATGCCACTGTTGTTGAGCTTTACAGAGAGAAGTTTCAAGAGAAACAAGGTGGACAAAGTGGAATTTGTCTTGTAGGACAGTATGTTGAGCCTTACTCAGAATCCGCAGAAGACAGAGCTTTTGCTACCGCAACGATCCTTTAGCTTCAACGCTGACCGAAAACAAAAATAGAGATCCTATTGGTCCCCAGGCTGAAGGAAACTCGATCCTCTACATTATTTATCCACAAGGTGTGAAGAAATTGTTGGAGTTCATGAATAAAAATTATCGGAATCCGATAATCTACATTACTGAAAATGGAATTACTGAGCCAAAGGATAATAAACTTGGACTTGATGCTGCACTGAAGGATCCACATAGAATTGAATAATCTGAGGCATTTGTACTGGATGAACAGGGCAATGAAGAATGGAGTGAACTTGAAAGGATATTTCCACTAGGCTCTGTTTGATGACTATGAATGGGGTGATGGCTATACCTTAAGATTCGGGCTTTACTACATCGATTACAAAAACAATCTCACGCGCATTCCCAAAGAGTCTGCTAAGTGGCTCCCTAAATTCCTCAAAGGGTGAGAGAAGAGAATAGAGATCAAGCTCTAGATGCATGTTGATGAAGGCCAAGTTCCAATGTTGAGTTTCATTGGCACAATGCCCTGTACTATGATACACAATGTTGAGTTTCACTGCAATAAAGGCAACGTACGTTTGAGTGCTTCAATTAACATCTATAATTAGGCACACAAAAATGACATTGGCATACAATTATTATATAAGGAATATATAGCCGTACAGTTCCTTTGTCTTCCTCATCACTAGTTCAATAAGGCATCAACCTCCAACGTTTGTGTGAGCTTGAAGCTCCAAAAAAAATAGACACAAAGAGCCAAAAAAATATTGTTTGCTGAAGTGAGTGAGCACAGAAGTTGTTGATTTTTTCTCCTCTTTTCTGTCTTTGCATGTTGGCACCGTCATTAGGCTCCTCTCTGAGGATGGCATGGTTGGTTGTTTAGGCAAGCTCTACGAGAGCCTTGAAAATCTAAGCTACACATACTTTCAACCTAATCTCAAAAGGACACCCTGCTCAGACCCAAGTCAACTGTTGCTGGAGCTAACATCTTCCATTTGTTGACCAGCAATAAATCGGGAGCTAAGAACTTTTAATACTGTGGTTGCAATGAAAGGCTTAATTCAAACTGTCGGGTATTCAATGAGACAAACGACTACGACACACGGTATGTGTCAGACGACGCTAGAGCCCTTTGTCCAAAGTGCGGAAGAACAATGTCCAAGCAGATGACTTATGTTGCTCCACCCGCAGTAATGTCTGCACGAGATACAATTTTGTCCAGCGAGGGAGGGTATGTGAAAGGTGTTGTTACAATTTTGTCCACCCGCAGTAATGTTGTTACATGTAATACTTGTATTATATACGTACGTACGTATTTTTCAATAATACATCTATTTTCCATATACGTCTTAAAATACATGCTTATGTATATTTTAATGATTATTTAATATCAACAAACAAAAAACAAAGTCCACAAAATAATTTAAAACTATTATTTACTATTTACCAAGTAATTTACGAAATCAGTAAAATATTTAAATATTCACTAAAGAAATAATAATTAAAACGTAATGTCTCGCATCAGATGGCAGGGGGAGATCTGAGCTGTTGATATGGTATTTGCCAACTCTTTTTGCCGTTGATCTTTACCAAGTCTTAGAGTGGCCAACAGTATGACACTTGGTTGGTGGAGTTATGAACCAGTTATTTCTTGCTTTTTATGGGAGTTAAAAAATATCTACCTTTTAATAGGAAATGTCCTGAGTTCGAGTCCTAGTATTCATGTAATATGTGTGAGTTTAGTATGTTATCGCCCCTCTTAATAAGAAAGGTCCTAAAAAAAAAAAATAGTCTACCTTTTAACTTCCATATCCATAACACATGTGAGTGAGAAATTTTGCTCTCTATTGTAATTTAGGCTATCACTTGCATTTTTTTATTTATTTAAAAAGTCTAAAAGTCTACCTTTTTGCAATAGAAAAACAATACACAGCAATTTTTTTTTAATTTCAAGTAAATATTTTATTAGTGAGAGTGCATAAAGAATATTTTGAAGTGCAAATAATAAATTACAAAAAAAAAAAAAAAAAAATTTAAAATTTAAAAAAACCTAAATTCTTCATTGAAAAAATTACATCAATGAGTATAAGAATAGAATGAACGTTCTTGGTGTAAATTGTTGACAAATTGCACACCACCCCTCTTTTGCATTCTATAATTTGATGATAGGACACCAATTTTATGATCAGGCCTTTGTACTTCTACATAAAGCACTAGTAATTTTGAAATAAGGAGGAAAGCATCAGAAAATGATTGTCTTCTATCTTGATCTAAAACCAAGAATGAATACAAGCAGGTGAAGGAGATTGAACATGCAACAATTCCACCTCTCACATCACTATATACTCATCACTTATATTTTAATGGCAGAATCAATCTTTCATACAATTTTAGTTTTGGTGCGGTTGCACTTACACGTTAGGTATAAAGTTATAAACCATTGAAACAGGACCTAGGTTCTTCTCACAACTCGCCATCCCACAGTTCTTCAAGGGTCCTGTACGCACCCAAAGTCTCATGTACAAAACCAGTTCCTGGAACAAGCTTCTCCTGCATCATCAATTACAAAGAAGGTTAAATTCAACCGTCCAAAAGAAACTAAAGCCCTCTTGACAAGCACGCACCGAAACTAGAACAAAGAAAGAATGAAAAGAAGGGGGGAGAAAAGGAAAAGGCACTTGCCTGCTTAATTTCAGAGAGTTTGGCAAACAAGTCGTTGGGTATAGACCAATCAAAAAGATTAAAGTTTTCCTGTATCCTTGCCTGATTCGTGCTTTTAGGCACTACACTGTGACCCATTTGTAACCCCCATCGAAGAGTCACTTGGGCAGGAGTCTTGCCCAGTTTTTTTGCCACCAAGTTCACAATAGAATTCTTAAGGACCTTATTCCTTGCCAATGGACAATAGCCCTGGAATAAGATTATTCATCACAAAAATACATCACTAATTAGCCAAGGCTGAGGTTCGGGAACCACAAAAATGAAAATCTAGCCTATTCAGTTCCCAAATTATTCACAGAAGTCATGTGTAACAATAAACGACTTTGTCTCCGCATACTCACAGATAACTGAACTCCCTTAGATTTACAGAAAGCGTGCAGCTTCGGTTGCTGCCAGTGAGGGTGCAATTCCACTTGATTAACAGCTGGAGGTATTCGTGCCACCTCTAACAGATCTCCAAGCTTCTTTGAAGAGAAGTTGCTGACTCCAATAGCCCTGGCCTTGCCAGAGTCAAAGAGTGCCTCCATTGCTTTCCATGTACTGGGTATATTAGGTT